CCTGGTTCTGCTAACTTCCCTTGGTATCATTAAATACAGTTATCCCTTCCACATCATGAGAATTAGGGGCGTGGCACCCCCCACAATGTGGAAAATCCTCATAAAAATTTTTGGCCCTCCCTTCGTACCAGAGAAGTTTGAATTTTTTCTTTTTCTTTTATGGGGTGTTTATAGCACTTTACTGTGAAGTTTGGGTTGATATTATATAATACTGTGCATATATTTTATGCATTTCTGAGTTTCTAAACTTTTTTCTGCGTCCTCTGTGGCTTCCACAAAACTCCCCAGAAATTCACATTTAATTTCTTATGCCGATCTGCGGTATATCGAAACTGCGATGGGGAAAGTCATAATGTGGAAGGGAAAACTGTGTAATAAATTCTTCATTTTCGTCATTTCTTACAACACAGTAATATTCATTCCCCTCTCAATGGATGCCTACTTTTCTTTGCTGTTAATGCTAACAATCTTGAGCTGTCCAAAAGTGAAATGGGCTGTCCCTGGAGATGCTGGGTTCTTCCTCACTGAAAGTGAAGGTCACCTGGCCATTTGTCAGTTTTATTGTAGAGAATAATCTTTTTCAGGTATAGAGTGGACTAGATGGTCACTAAGGTCCTTCCATTTCTCACATTCTGTGACTCGGTGACTTTTTCTTCTACTCGGCCCAAGAGGGCAGGAGGAACGATGGGCAAAGGATGCAAAGATGCTAACTGAGGCTTTATGGAAGGAAAACATTCCTAAGGATGACAGGTGGAACAATGGTAATGGTTTTTTTGTTTTGTTTTTGTTTTGGTTTTTTTTTGGCTAGGCAATGGGGTTAAGTGACTTGCCCAGGGTCACGTAGCTAGTAAGTGTTAAGTGTCTGAGATCGGATTTGAACTCAGGTCCTCCTGACTCCAGGGCCGGTGCTCTATCCCCTGCGCCACCTACCTGCCCCCTACAGTGGAAATGGAATAATAGACTTCCTTAAGAGGCAGTGGGTCCCTTCTTAATTTGGATTTCAAGCCAAGACTGGATGCATCTAGGGCACCTTTAGCATTTGGGAGCCTGTCCATCCACCTGCAGCAGAACTCTCCTCCGATTAGAGAGTAAGCTCTTTAAAGAGGACAAGGTTTGTGGCCTGTTTTCTGGGAGTGTCCCAAGCTCTTTGCCTCCTGCTTAGTGCATAGTCAGCATTTAATATTGCATCCATTCATTATTCATCCACCCTAGACTTGGAGTTGGAAAGGAACATGGAGGCCGTCTAATCCAACCTCTCCCCCCCCCTTTTTTTTTTCAGAGGAGGAAACTAAGGTTTACAGTAGTTAAGTGACTTGCCCAAGGTCACACAAATAGGAAGGAGCAGAGTTAGGATTTGAACTCAAGGTCTTTAGATTTCCCAGACAGTGATTGATCTTTTTTGTTTAGTTACAGATCGCACTAGGTGGCATCTGAGATCCCTTCTTGCCGACATTCTACAGGGTTTTGGACATGCTATTACACAACAGACTTATTTCTGGGGCCTGGCGATATTTGCACCTCCCCTGTCCCCTTTAGCAGCCGGGGACAGAACTACCACTTTTTTTTTTCCCTCTCTGACACCCTCTGTCAGGTTCTGGAGTCCTTGGGAGGCTGGTCTCCCATTGTGATGTGCATTCACCACAGCCCCAGCCTGTGGTGTGACATCATCCGTCACCATGGCAATGGTTCTGGTGGAGTTGCAGTGGAATGAATGGGACATGCCCGAGTGAACCAGGTTGATTAGGGAGGAAATTGGGGGCGGGGGCTGGCTGTCAAAGAGCAGGGACCAGATCTAGAGACGCTCAACAGATTTCTTAGATTATCATCAGCAAGTCTAGCTTGCGAGTGCTTGGGGATGAGTTTTGCTGGGGAAAGACACATATTTATGAGCATGAAAAAGGCAGTTTGAGGCTTGACAAATATAATGATAATATTGAGGGTTTGGTTTTTTTTTAAGTGGACCTGTGATGCCATTGCTATAGAAAGCTCTTAGTAAGGAAATTCCCTCTACCAATGCAGTTGGGTACATGCTCTCCAACTTACAGTCTTCAAGGTTGCTGGGGCTCTAAGAGGTTATTTGGGGCAGCTAGATCACTGGCCCTGGAGTCAGGAGAACCTGAGTCCAAATCTGGCCTTAGACATTTACTAGCTGTGTGATCCTGGGTAACTGAACCCTGAATCCTGTTTGCCTCAGTATCCTCATCTGTAAAATGAGTTGGAGGAGGAAATGGGAAACCACTGCAGTATCTCTGCCAAGAAAACCCCAAATGAAGTCACAGAAATCATATAGAACTGAAATGACTCAAAAACAACAACATCAAAAGAGGTTATTTGAGTTACCCAGGGTCACACAGGTGACAGAGTTGAGATTTGAATCCAGGTCATAGGATCCTCCATTAGAACTGGGAGGAACCTCAGAGTTCAATTCCTTCTTTATACAGATGAGGAAACTGAGGGCCCAAAGGGTTAAGTGACTTGCCCAAGGTCACCTAGTGTAAGTGGTAGAGCTGAGATTTGAACCCAGGGCCTCTGACTCCATATCCAGCAATCTTCCCACTTCCTCTCTCATGGGAGGGGTTGATGATGAGGTCCTAAATCTGAGCACTGAGGAAAACTGCCTGCCCAGGCATTCCCTGCCCCCATTCCCTGCTCCCTTGACACTTGCCCCAGGAGGGCAGCTTTTGCCATGGAGACCCCACACAGGGCACCAGGCTGGAGGGGTTTCCAGGGGGTTACTGCTGGAATGTTTCAGAACCTTGGGCTTCTTTTCTTATGGAACGCCATAATGCCGCCAGCCACCGCATCCCTGGGCTCCTCCAAGCTTTTGAAGCAAAATCTGTGCCAGGTTATTTTCCCTGGGGGTGGGAGGAGGAGGGCAAAGAGAGCACGGAAGGCATCTGGTGGTGGAAACTGCCTCCTCCCATTAGGGCAGCTCCATTTTGCAGTGGGGGAGGGGCCACCCTCATTTTCCCTGATAGAAAAATCACCCAGGTGACACGTTAATGACTTCTCTCCCGGCTTTCTCCAGCCCTCGGCTGTCATGGAGATGAGAGGAATGTGAGCCCTGGATTCCAGAGGGCTTCTCTCAGGGCCAGAGGAGTGGAAGCATTAATAGGCATTCGTGTTAGCTCCTGGGGTGGGGGGTGGGGGGCACCAAAGAAGCAGAACAGGGACATGTAAAGAACCTGAGGTAGGGGTCGCACGCTCTAGTTAACATTACTACCCCGGAGGCCATGGTCAGGTCATTTCTTTCTTAGCTTCGTGTTCCATATTGGGGAAATGAGGAGATTAGAGCAGATCGTCCCTGAGGTCTCGGTCAGCTTAAAGTCCGAAGAGAATCTTACAAGGCGCTGCCTCATGCACCCCATCTGTCTCCTTCCACTTTGGTGCCTTTGGCGTCTAGGGAAGGTGGTGTTCTCACTGTGGAGCAGGGGCTTTGCCCCATTCTCGCCACTTAGTGTTTTCTTTCTCCCTCTCTTTCTTCCTTTCTTCCTTCCTTCCTCCCTCCCTCCCTCCCTTCTTCCCTCCCTCTTTCCCTTTCTCCCTCCCTACCCCCTTTTCTTCCTTCCTTCCTTCCTCTTCTTTTCTTCCTTCCTCCTTCCTCCCTCTCTCCTTCTCTTTCCCTCCTTTTTGCCTCCTCCTTCCTTTCTTCTTCCCTTCCTCCCCCTCCCACCCTTCTCTACTCCATTCCTGTTTCGTTCCTTCCTTCCCTCCTCCCTCTTCTTCCTTCTCTCCCTACTTTCCTTCCTTCTTTTCACCTCCCTCCTTTTTACCTCCTTTCTTCCTTCCTTCCTCTCCCCTCCCTCCTTCCCTTCCCCTGTTCCTTTCTACCTCCCTCCTTCCCTTCCTCCTTCCTTCCCTCCCTTCTTCCCTTCCATTCCTTCTTTCCTCCCTGCCTTCTTCCCTCTATCCTTCCTTTTCTTCCTTTTCTCCCTCTTTCCCTTCTTCCTTCCTTCCTCCTTTTCTCCCTTTCTTCCTTCCTTCCTCCCTCCCTCCCTTTCCTTCCCAACTCCCAAAACCAGCACTCTATCTACTCTACTCTGCCGCCTACTTTACCTGTAATTGAGTTGCCTCTATTATTCTGATTTTGTTTGTGGGAATAGATGAGTGGGAGGATTGAGGGCCTGGCTGTCCAGTTATGAAGCCATCATTAGCTCAGCCATGGTGCTTGGCACACAGTAAGACAGGGATAGGGCGTCACCCTCTGGTTTTGGTCATTTCTGAATGAGGAAGCTTCCTGTCCCAGTGCGGGTCAGCATCTTCTTTTCATCTGATATTTGTCATTTCCCAAAGTACTGGTCACACAGCCTGCATGTATCAGTGGCTAGATCTGAACCTGTGTCTTCCCAGCTTCAAGGCCAGGTGTCTGTCCACCAGGTGGAGATTCTATTGGCACATAGTAGGTGCTCGTTAATCATTAAAACGTGCTTGTTGATTGGTTAATTGTAAGATCCCTTCAGAGGGCCACCCTGCCCCCCCACTCCTAGTGTGTCTCCTCCTGATGGATCTTTCACTGCCTTCTTCTGCCACATCAGGGAAGCGGTGTTTTAAGCGCTAGGAAATCCTTTGACAGATGGCAAGCTTAGGAAGAGACAAAGAGGGTTTCAGTAGCATGAAAAAGCCTTGTTTACTTGCTAAGAGGCTCCTCACCAGGTAAGATGTTTCATATTTTTAATCAAGCTGGGTCCCCAACCGTGGGTACAGGATCAGTTGGCAGCGTCTCTGGCCAGGGTGGATTGACAGCTTCTCCTCACTGGCTTTCAGGGAGCTCTGTGGTTCATTTCAATAGAACCCGATGTTCAAACTAGCTACTGTCTGGCCCCACAAAGTCAAGACAAGGGGACCCAAAGCCCCTCCCAGCAGGCTGGGCCATGGCCTCCTTCCACATCAGAAATCAGTGCTGATTCAGGAAGGGCCTGGTAAAGGATGGAGGCGGGGACAAGAAAAAGCCACCTTCCAACTCAGTCTCATGTTAATACCCTGTTCTCTCTTTCTCTAAGCCATGAAGGCCGATAGAAAGCGTTTGAAGGCCGAAAAGACAGACCTCGTGAGTCAAATGCAACAGCTCTATGCCACCCTGGAGAGCCGGGAGGAGCAGCTTCGGGATTTCATCCGGAACTATGAGCAGCACAGAAAAGTAAGGCCGATTGTCTTTGAATCACTATCTTATGACCTGCATGTGCCTAGGCATGCATGTACATGGGGGTGGGTGGGTGCTCATACAGGTATACAAGGTGCCACTCCTTGGTAGGAGCATAGGTGGAGAGCCATTGAGTCCATTTTACAGTTGAGGAAAGTGAGGCAGACAGGTTCTCAGGGATGGGAAACCTGCAGCCTTGAGGCCATAGTTTAGATTCAGTCAAAGGGTCGCACTTGAGGACCTAGAGGGACCACATGTGGCCTCAAGGCCGCAGGTTCCCCACTCCTGGGTTAGGTGACTTGCCCAGGATCACACACCTAGAAAATACTTAAGATAGAATTTGAGCACATATCTTCCATAATTCCAAGTCCATTATCCTAAGCAGATGTAGAGTGAGGAGATGGTGGGTGACTGGGACCAGGGTCTAACCATCCTATAGAAACCTCAACAAACCATGTTTCATATTATTCATTCCTTACGCTCTCAATTGACATGTTGCGCTAGAACCAGTGGGCCTTGATTCAAGTCCCATCTGTTGTTTTTGACCTGGGTGACCTTGGGTAAGACACTTAATCTCCCTAGAGCTCCCTTTTGTCATCTGTAAAATAAGGGATGGGACTAGTGGCCTCTGAAGCTTCTTCTGACTTTTTCTGTGACCTCTGAGATCACTTCCAGATCTCGGTCTAGGATTTTATGATCTAAAGATGGGATGGATGGATAGATAGGTGGATACATGGGTGGATGGATGGGTGGATGGATGAGTGGATGGATGGGTGGATGGATGGATGGATAGATGGATGGATCTATGGATGGGTGGGTGGATGGATGGATGGATGGATGGATGGATGACTAGATGGGTAGATGATGGGTGGATGAATGGGTAGGTAGATAGGTGAGTGACTAGATGAATGGATAGATTGACGGGTAGATGAGTGGGTAGATGGATGGATGGATGGATGGATGGGTTGGTAGATGTCTAGATAGATGTATATACCTCATAAGGGAAGCAGTATATACAAAGTAAATGAAATAACACGTGTAAAGTGAAAGTCGGATAAGGATAGACTAGATCTGTGGTTTCATTAGCCCAGGGAACCTACCAATGCAGGTTCTCTTTGTAACAGAATTTGAATTTTGCTACTTTAAATTTAAATACTTTATCAATCAACAAATTTTTGCTAAATTCTAAGGCACATAACATTGTTTTAGGCAGAGGTAGAGCAGGGAAGAGGGGAGAGAAATACAAGATTTAGATAGGACAGTCCTTGCCTCCATGGCACATACCTTCAACTATGAGGTTTAGACAAACCCAGTAATTGTAATACACACCATTACCAGGTAGGTGAATTTGAGAGGTATAAAGCAAAGTGTGTTTGAGGTCATGGGGGGGGGGGTCTCATTTCTAATTAGGGGAACTAGGGAAGGCTTCCTGGAAGAGGCAGCTATCTTGGTGAGATGTGGACATGGTTGGGAATCTATCAGGTAGAAAGGAGGGGGCGCCCATTTTTCTAATGGTGACCATTGCACCATCTCGGGAATGAAATCTGGCTCAGCAGCTGCATTGCCACTCTTCGACATTGTTGTTTCTATTCCCATGGTGCATCTCTTTCCTTTTTCCTCCTGGCTGACCATGGCCACCCCTAAGGGATGGACTGACTTAGCCAGTCCCTTCAGATCCTTCTATCCTGAGATAATGATGCATACTCCCTGGGGACTTGGGACCCCCAGAGGTGGCCTGCTTTCAGGATGCTGACACAGTTCAAGTTCATGCCTGTCCCCGAGGTCCTTGGCTGCCTGGATGTCACTGCTGCTCTACTGTCCACAGGAAATGGATATGCTTGCCTTGAAGTTGGCTTCTCTGTTCTGTTAACTAAGGTTACCGATGATAAGTGGACAGCCTATGAAATCAGAAGAGAGAAAAAAATTAATTGGGGAGCAAGAGAAGAGGCATTGAAGAGCTCTCATTCAGTCAAAGTGGAACAATGCATTTTAGAGGGACGTTCAGAGCAAAGGCATCTGGGGATTGAGAGCAGAGGCCGTGTACTGCTGCGACGCTCTGCTTGACAGATAGGTTCCCTCAAAATAGGGACTTCCCTGAACTTACCACAACCTTTGGCCTACAACTGGGTTTCTCAAACAGGGAACCCCAGGATCTCTGGGACCATGAGAGTTCTCTGAACAACCCTTGTGGGAATCCCAGGACCTCTGACCTTTTTTCCTAATTGCCTCTTCCTCTTCCTCTATTCCCCAGTTAGAAGGCTTTCCCCTTAGTTTCTTCTTCCCATACATGGAAGAAACATGCTTACTAATCTCCTCTCCTAGGTTTCTGGCAGAGATCATGCATTTAGAGCTGGGAGGGCCCTTAGAACACAGAACACAGAATATCAGAACTGGGAGGGTGCTTAGAACACAGGACTTCAGAGCTAGGAGGGGCCTTAGAACACAGGATGTCAGAGCTGGGAGGGCCCTTAGAATACAGAATGTCAGAGGGGGATTTTAGAGGTCATAGAGCCCTACTCTCTCATTTTACAAACAGTACAGCTCAGGCCCAGAGAGGGAGAGTGATTTGCCCAAGGGTCACACTTCCATTGAAAAGAGAAACATACTTACAGACAGCTGAATCTGCAGATCTAGAAAACAGATTTACTCGTTTAAAACCAATCAAACTGTGAGCTAATTGGCCCATGGATTGCATTTGTGATAAGCTGAGTTGGTGAGGATCAAGGCAGAACTGCTTACCCTTGAGGCACTGTCAGCCCAGCATCCCCTCCCCCACATCTTCCACCCCACATAGATCAGAGCCAGGCAGGGTTAGGGCTAGAATTGTGCTGAGTCTAAGTCTTGGCTAAAGCTTGCTGTGACTCTGTGGGGCTGTGAAGGGAAGAGCCAAAGTAGACACGGAGGGAACAAGGCTGTCTCTGGGCCTGCCAGGATAGACCCCCACACTGCGACACTCGTACACATTGTGCAGAATGAACTCCCTTGTGAATGAATGGCTGTGGTCTGCAGGGAAACTCGGGACATCTCCAAGTCCAGCCATGAAATCCCGCCTTCCAGGCAGTGTTTCCAGAATGAAAATTGCCTACGAAAGATACATCTTGTAGATTTCGTGGTTAGAAATCACCTACTCCTCCTCTGCCCCTTTTAGACCATTATCAGCTAGGGGCAGCCACACACAGTACACAGAGCTCTGGACCTGGAGCGAGGAAGACCTGAATTCAAGTGAATACTTACTACTGCATGACCCTGGGCAAGTGACTTCACCTCTGTTTGCCTCAGTTTCCTCGTCTGAAAAAATGGGGATGATAATAGCCCCCATCTTCCTGGGTTGTTTTGAGGACCACATGAGATGATGTTTGTAAAGTAGTAGTGCCTGGCATATACTAAACATATATAAACATTAGGTGCTGTTGTTATCATCATCATTACTATTATTTATTATGATCTCATGCCTGGATGATGAGAAATTAGAAATTGCTAGGACTAGAAGGTTACAGATGTGGGAGGGGGCGGGTCCAAAGAAGGGGCGGGGCAGGAAGAAGAGATACCTTATCAGAGGAAGGGATGGTGAAGGATCATAAGGCCAACCTCCTCCTTTTACAGATGAGGAAAGTGAGGCCAAGCATAGTTAAGTAACTTGCCTATCATCACTCAGGTGATCAATGCCAGAGGCAGGATTTAAACACAGGCCCTCTGACTCCAGAGTGAGGGCTTTCTGCTATACCACACTGGAACATTTGTCTTGTTAGACAAAGGAAGGCTAGGCTAGGGAAACCTCTGGTCACCAAATCTCCATATAGCCTCCCAGCTGTTCTCCTGGCTTCTGTCCCCCCCAACCCCCACCTCCCTGCCCCTGCTCCAATCCATTCTGCTGCTCTGAGGGGGCAGGATTATACAATTGAAAATTCTGCATAGTACATAGCACCGTGCTTGGCACATAGTAGGCACTTTATAAAATGTTTATTGTTTATTTTTGGTTGAATAGAATGGAAACAGAAAAGACTTCAGAGCCAAGGTTGTGATGGGGGAAAGGAAGAGAGAGAAGGAGGAAGAGGGAGAGCAGACAGAGGGAGGGAGAGAAAAGATCGGGGTGGGGGGGAGAGAGAGAGATTGTGTGTTAGGGGTAAGGAAATAGTGACCCCTTTTCATCTAAAAACATTTATTACTTAGCTATCATGTATACTGTTCAATATGAATCGCCAGAGCTATTTCAGGTTCTAATCCTTATGGTACCTGGCCTCCCCACCTCTTCAGATGATTATTACCCTAACTATGACCAAAGAAACCAGCATCCAACTTCTATTTCACCTGCTTCCCAAATTGACCAAAATAATGCTATCAGAAATGAGCAAATGGGATCACAGGTTTAAAGTCTGAAGGAGTCTCAGTGGTTACACAGTCCAGCCCCATTTCTTTCCCTCTCCTGAAGTCACAGGCAGGAGGACTGGTACCAGTTAGGTAGAAAACCAGAAATTCCCTTGCTGGAATAGAAGGTTCCAGATATTATCAGTTAGTCTACAAGCATTTACTAAGCACCTACTATGTGCCAGGCACTGTACTAGATTCTGAAGATACAAAGAAAGGTAAAAGACTGTTCCTGCTCTCAAGGAGCTCAGAGGGAGACAAAATAGAGACAGCTGTATGTACAAACAAGATATATGCAGGATCTATTGGAGATAATCAACAGTGAAGGCAGCAGATGGTGGGAGTAATCCAAGACTGAGGCTTGGAGGGGTGGGCAGAGAATGGAGGGATGGGACAAGGGGAAAAAAAAGAAGACATACCAGCATAAGAGGAAGAGCTAGGACAAAGGCAGCAGCCTGTTGGACAGAGAGAGCCCAGAACACCAAAAGAGTCTATGATCACTAGATGACCAGATTTGGAAACTGAGGCCCAGAGAGGTGAATTAGCTTAGTTAGGTTCACAAAAGTAGTAAATTGTTGAGCCTCTCTACACCTAGAGTGGGAGTTTTAATACACCTTCCTCGCCTCAAACACACACCAACATACATACATTCCTCTTTGCCCCTGACTCTGCCCCACAATGAGAAAGAACTGGCAGGAGCAGCTAGGTGGTACAGTGAATAGAGCACCACCCCTGGAGTCAGGAGGAGCTGAGTTCAAACCCAGCCTCAGACACTTACTAGCTGTGTGACACTGGGCAAATCACTCAACCTTGATTGCTTCGAAGGAAGGAAGGAGCTAGTTTCTTTTTACTATAAAACCGTGGTTTCTCCTGCTGTCACCCAAACCCAAGGACCAAAGGCCTGGCTCTCTTTCTTAACAGACAAGAGCCATGCACCAGCTCGTGGCTTCTTAACATGTAGGAAAATCTGAGTCTCTGATTCATTTTTTACAAAGTGAGACTGTAGTATAGAATGAAGTTGTGAAAAGTGGACTGACTGGCTACCTTTCTTTATAGCAGGCATCCTTACCCAGAGATCCACATGGATAAATTTCAGGGTATTCATGAATTTAGACTGAAAAAATATTTATCTTTATTTTCACTAACCTCCAACTGAAATTTAGCATTTCCTTCAATTATTTTTAAATTGTTTATTATTTTTATTTGTACTCCCCCCCATTTTTTTAAACATTTTTATTTAAAGTTTTGAGTTCCAAATTCTATCCCTCCCTTCCCTCCTCTCCCCCCTCCCTGAGACAGTAAGCAATCAGATATAGATTATACATGTTCAATTGTTATTGACTATATGACTATATTAGTCATTTTGCACAAGAAGACTCAAATAAAAGAAAAAGAATGAAAGAAAGAAAGTGAAAAATAGCATGCGTCAGTCTGTATTCAGTCAATATCAGTTCTTTCTGTGGAGGCGGACAGTATGCTTCATCATTAGTCCCTTGGGATTGTCTTGGATCATTGTATTGCTGAGAATAGCTAAGTCATTCACAGTTCTTCATTATACAATGTTGCTGTTACAATGTTCTCCTGGTTCTGTTCACTTCATTATGCATCAGTTCATGTAAGTCTTTCCAGGTTTTTCTGAAATCATCCTGCTTGTCATTTCTTATAGCACAATAATATTCCATTACAATCACATACCGTAGTTTTTTAGCCATTCCCCAATTGATGGACATCCCTTCAATTTCCAATTCTTATCCACCACAAAAAGAGCTGCTATAAATATTTTTGTACAAATAGGTAGGTCCTTTTCCCTTTTTCTGGATGTCTTTGTAATGTAGACCTAGCAGTGGTGTTGCTGGATCAAAGAGTATGCAGAGTTTTATAGCCCTTTGACATATACTTTTAAAATTAATTTGACCCTCCCACTACCCGCCTCTTCCAATTGAGCATTTTTTCTAAAAGAAAAACAAACCCTTCAGTACATAGCTACATAGTTGAGCAAAACAAATTTCCACAAAGTAGCCATGTCTAAGAATGTATGTCTTCCTCTGCCTTTTAAGTTCATTCCCCCTCTGTCAGGAAGTGAATGGCATGCTTCGTTATTATATCTTCATTCGTTTAGTCTCATTTTATCATTGAATTGATAAGGGTTCTAAAGTCTTTCACAATTGTTGTTCTTAGTCTCCTGGTTCTGCTCACTTCACCCCGCATCAGTTGATAAAGATCTTCCCAGTTTCCTTTGAAATTGTCCATTTTGTCATTTCTTAGGGTATAATAGTATTCCATTACATTCATATGCCACAATTTATTTAACTGTTCCCCGGTAGGAGAACAACCCTTTAGCTTCAGATTTTATTGCACTAGAAAAAAAAAAACTTTGTTCAGTTATTTTAAAACCTTATTCTGATAAAAGGTTAAGAACTCCAGGTCTAAGCTAACTGTTTCTGTCTCTGTGTCTGTTTGTCTCTCTGTCTCTCTTCTGTCTCTGTCTGGCTCTTTCTCCTTCTCTATCTTTATCACTGTCTCTCTCACATACACACACACACACACACACACACACTTTACCCCCCCTCTTCCCACTATGATGTGTTAGGGTCAGCTTCTGACTGAGAGATTGATGAGGGGAAAAAGTCACTACCAGAGGCAACTCTAGGGGCCCCAGCTTTAGCTGAACTGGAGGCTGCCCTTTATCCCAAGGGGGTCATAACCATCCAGAAATACCTTTAAGCCAGCAGAGTGAAAACCCAACTTGGAGTTTGTTTACTTTATCTAGGGGAGGGGGCAAGGTCATTCAACTGTGGGATTGATTCCTCTTTCTCCCCATGAGAAAGCAATTCCCATGCTTAGGAAGAAGAACGGGGGCAGGACAGAGGAGAAAGTGCATATGTGGCCTAATGTGAGGGAAGGGGGGCAGGAGAACCTCAATGTCCACTCAGTTGATCAGTGATTAAAATTCGTAAGGTCATGGATGTAGAACTGAAGGGGACCTTTAAAACCATCGAGTCCAGCCCATTGACTTAGGACCATAAGATCATAGATTTAAAATTGGAAAGGACTTTAGAAACTACCAAGTCTAATCTCGTTTTTACAGATAAGGAAACTGAGGCAACAGAGAGATTGAGTGACTTTCCCAGAATCACAAAGGTAGTAAATCCTTGAGGTGAGATTAGAACACAGGTCTTCCTGACTCCAAGTTCTATCAACACCCTCTCCACAATGCCATCCTGCCTCCCCTTTTAGAAGTTCAGGCCATATTTCCCTTTTTCTTCAGACATTGGCTGCTAGCCCCCTCCATCTCTTCCCCTTTACTTCAGGGAGGGCCTCAAATTTCATAGCCCTCAGAAGGAGGTAACAGTGTGATATGGCTGATGCAGCTAACAGAACATGAGCTCCTCATTCTTCATCCTTGTGTACATCAGTGACTGCCACAGTGCCTAGCACATACATAGTAGGCACTTATAAAGTGTTTACTGACCACGTGCTTGGCTGCTATGGAGAAACATGCTATCCAAGAATAAAGAGGGGATAGTCCTCAGGCCCCAGCTACGGAACAGTGTTCCACTCTGGACACTTGAATGTGGAAAAGACCTGGCTGAGGCCAGAGGAGATGCTCTTGAGCTCCTTAATGCCTAGCATTGCTTTCTTTCCACAGGAGAGTGAGGATGCGGTCAAAGCCCTGGCAAAAGAGAAGGACCTTTTAGAGCGGGAGAAGTGGGAGCTGCGCCGGCAAGCCAAAGAAGCTACAGACCACGCCACATCCCTGCGGTCACAGCTGGACCTGAAGGACAACAGAATGAAGGAGCTTGAGGCTGAGCTGGCCATGGTAAGACACTCCGGCCCTCCCCTTGCTCTGCTGCGGCCAATGGGGAGAGGTAATTCAGCATATAACAACAACAACAATAATAATAGTGCAGGGTCTTAACATCTTCATGGTCATTGTGTAGAATAAGTCGCTGTCTAGGCAGTCATGTGAGCACACTAGAGAGAAGGTTGGACTTGGAGTCAGAGGACCTGGTTAAAATCCAGCGCTGCTATTTACTACTTTCGTGACCTTGGTTTCTGAGCCTCAGTTGCCTCATCTGTAAAAATGTGGAGTTGGATTTGATGACCTCTTCCGCCACTTTCAGCTCTAAATCAGTGATCTTAAGACATTGATATAAATTTCACCCAAGAAGGTCTTGTCAATTCAGTCCAGTTCATGAAGTACTGATTAAACACCTACTGTGTGCCAGGCATTGTTCTAGGCAGGAGGCATAGGAAGACAAAACTAAATCTAAGGCATCTTAAGGACTTTCTGTTTCCCAAGGGGAGGATGGGAGGCTGAGGCGGGTAGCATGTGGCATAAATGAATACAAAGTCATTGTTCATTTGTGCAATTGTGTCTGCCTCTTTGTGGCCCCATAGACCATATTGTCCATGGAGTTTTCTTGGCCAAGATACTGGAGTGGTTTGCCATTTCCTTCTGCAGCTCATTTTTACAGATGAGGAAACTGAGGCAAACAGGGTCAAGTGACTTGCCCAGGGTCACACAGCTAGTAAGTATCTGAGGTCATATTTGAACTCAGGCCTGGCTCTCTGTCCATTGCACCACCTAGCTACCTCCAAATGCAAACTACATATAGACTAATTTCAGTAAAGAATGACTACTAACAACTGGTGGTGATCTGGGAAAATGTCCCATAGGAGGCAGTACCTGGGCCAAGCCTTGAAAGAAACCAAGTATTCTTTTTTTTTTTTTTTTTTGGCTAGGCAATGGGGTTAAGTGACTTGCCCAGAGTCACACAACTAGTAAGTGTTATGTGTCTGAGGCCTGATTTGAATTCAGGTACTCCTGAATCCAGGGCTGGTGCCCTATCCACTGCACCACCTAGCTGCCCCGAAACCAAGAATTCTAAGAGTCATAACAGAAAAGGAGTAGGGGAAAAGCCAACGTGGGAAACTACTCCCTTGATACAGATCACAGCTTGTCTGTGACCCAATTTGAAGCCCATTGGAATTGTGTAAATTAAATAGAGCTTATATGCTATAACAGGATGACCCAGCTAGGAAGTGCCAGGGTCAAGATTTGAACTGAGATCTTTCCCAGCCCAGGTCTCTATCCAGAATGACCTGCCACCTCTCAAGACATGTCATTGCGGAGAGAAATAGTTGTGAGGAGCCCGGAATCCACCAGTGCTGTTGGAGGGGTCCAGTGGTTCAGACCCTGAGCCCTGGATCTATGATGGTCAATACCACCTTTCCTGTCAGCATTTTTAGGGCTGAAGTGAGGTCCCTTCTGTTCTGTATGTCATGGCGGTTAGAGCGTTAGACTTGGAATCAAGGGACCTCCCTTCAAATCCTGCCTCCTACCCATACTGGGTGATGACGATAATAATGAAAATGATGACAATAATAATTATTGTTATAACTAGCATTTTTACAACTGTTGTCTCATTCTGTCCTCACAAGAGCCCTGGGAGGGAGGTGCTATGATTACACCCATTTTGCAGATGAGGAAACTGAGGTACAGAGAGGCAAAGAGGCTTAGAATCCTAGAGCTGGAGTGGACAGGGACCTCAGAAGCAGATTATTTCAACCCCAGTTATTTTGCAGATGAAGAAACTAAGGTCTAGAGAGGTTTAGTGATTTGCCCTGGGTCACACAGGTAGTAAGAGGAGTCAGAGGTAGGATTTGAACCCAGGTCCCCTAACCCCCCCCATACTATAGTGCCTGACCTCTTCATTTTACAGTGGAGAAAACTCCGGGGAAGTGATTGGTCTCGGGTCAGCTAGGTGGCGCCATAGTGCAGAGAGTGCCAGGCCTGGAGTTGGGAAGACGAGTTCAAATGTGATTTCGGACATTTACTAGCTGCGTGCCCCTGGGCTTGTGACTCTACCTCTGTGAACCTCAGTTTCCCCATCTGTCAGATGAGCTGGAGAAGGAAATGGCAAACCAGTCCATTATCTTTGCCAAGAAAACTCCAAATGGGGTCACAAGGAGTCAGACTCACCTGAAAACAACTGAACAGCAATTGTCCTCAGGTCACATCTCTGGGGTTTAAACCAAGGTCCCCTACAGATGGATCATGACCTCGATGTTTCTGTAGATGGAATGGATTTTATGTGCCCCACCAGGCAGTGAGTTCATGGTGAGGCCAGCCCTCTTCCCTGGAGCTGTAGGTGGCCAGAAGGAAACCTAGTGGGGAAGTGAGCAGGGTATTGGAAGCAGAGAGACCAGGGCCTCAGTATCCCCCCTGAATGGAGCATCCTAAGGAGGATGCCTTTTCTTAACAACAACAAAAAATATGCCACCCCAAGGTTCCCTTCTTGTTTCCCAGCCGATTGGAGGAGCAGACCTTGTGCGGTGGGGTCAGATGGCTCTGGGGCTCTTTGAGGAGGCAGGAACGCAGGGAGGTCCACTCAGGCAAGGAAGGGAGCTGCAATCTCCCCCTGCCCCATAAGGCTTTGAGTCGCCAGGTCTGGCCTGGCCATGGGTTTCTCCCACCTGCAAGATAAAGGCCAAGGCAGGAGCTAGGGCCCAGAGGAAAAGCTTCATATCGCAAAGCAGCCATATCCGGTCAATGTGGTATAGGGGAAAGAGCTTTGGGGCTTTTAGGGAGTCAGGAAACCTGGGTTGAAGTCTCAGTTTTGCTACAACCTGCTTTCCCATCTTAGTTCACTTCTCTTCTCTGGGCCTCAGTTTTCTCCTGTGTAAAATGGGGATAAATAATACCACCCACCTGACAGAGCTGTTATGAGGATCAGATGAGGCATATGCAAAGCACTCAGCCCAGTGCCTGGCACGTAATAGATGTTTAATAAATGCTGTAGTCAGCTGGCTGAAGTGGATATAGAGCTGGGCCTGGAGTCAGGAAGATCTGAGTTCAAATCCAGCCTTAGACACTTACTTAGCTGTTTGACTCTAGGCAGGTCGTTTCACCTGTTTACCTCATTTCCCTCACCACTAAGGTGGGGATAATAACAGCACCTGCCTGCCAGGGTTATTGTGAAGACCAAACAGATAATAACAGTAAAGTCCTTAGCCTAGTGCTCAGCACATAGTAGACGCTATAGAAATACCTTTGCCCTTCTTCCCTAAAATGAATGAGGTTGGACTCGATTGTTTCTGAGGCCTCTTCCTACTCCAAACACTCCCTAATTCCCTTATACCAGATTGGCACAGCATTCCCCAAATCAGCATCTCTGCAGCAGAAGGGAGCTCCGAGAGCGAGTGGTGGTCAGAGCGATGACCTTGGAAACAGGAAGACCTGGGTTCAGATCTTGCCTCAAATGCTTGCTAGTCTGTGTGCCCCCGGACTCGGGACTCTACCTCTGTGAACCTTGGTTTCCTCATCTGTAAAATGAAGGGAATGTGTAACCCCTTACAATGCTAAGCAATCAAAAGTTTAAGAGGCTACTATGTGCTAGACACTGCTGCCTAGTACAAAGGGAATGGGTAGTGGTGTGACTCTTGTTCAGCTGTTTCAGTCGTGACCCCATGTAGGGTTTTCTCAGCAAAGATACTGGAATGGTCTGCCATTTCCTTCTCCAGCTCATTTTACAGATGAGGAAACTGAGGCAAACAGGGTGAAGTGATTTGCCCAGAGTCATACAGCTAGTAAGTATCTGAAGGCAGATTTGAACTCAGGTCTTCTGACTCCTTCCTCACTCTATCCATCCACTTTGCCCCCTAGGGGCCCCTTTACCACTTAGCTGTGCAAAGATGGAAGCAAAAGCCTCTGTCCTCGAGGAGTTTACCTTCTATTAGACGAAGGAGGGAGAGAATACCTAAATACCTACCTAAAACATGTCAATCTTTAGCCTTAAAATTTATAACTCCAGTAAACATAGATATATAATATATGTTTTTATAATATAATTTTTACATAGTTTTATATATTATGTATAAATTAAATGTATAAATAACAATAAAATAACTATAAAATAATATATAATTACAAAAATATATAACTATATGTCAATAAATTAATTCTATATAAATTAAAGGTAGTTTTGGAAGGGTGAGGCACCAGTAGCTGGGGGCGGAGTAGAGGGGAGCACCTAGAAAGACCTCGTGCAGAGGGCAGTGCTTGAGTTGATCTTTGAGGAAAATTAGCCATTCTAAAAGGCAGAGGTGAGAAGGGAATACATAGGCTAGGGCGTAGGGGGTATAGCCATTACAAAGGTGTGGAGATGGGAAATGTCCTATCACATGTAAAGAACATAAGATGACATCCCTGGATGACAGTGATCATCCAGACTTTTACTGAAAGACCTCCAGCACTAGAGAACCCACTGCCTGTGGCCGCGCATTCCAATTAGGGACCACTCTGTTGGGACTTTTTTCTTTTCATTGTGATTAAATAAAAAATCTGTCTCCCTACAACTTCTATCCATTGTGCCTGGTTTTGACCCCTCAGGCCAAGAAGAACAAGGCTTATCCAGTCCCTCTTCCACACAACTGTCGTTTCAAGGCTTAAAGATACCCACGATGTCTCCTGTAGATTTCTCTCTGTTCTGCGATGTGGGATGCCCTCTGAGGTTGGAAAGGGTCCCTTTCACAGACTGGGCTTTGTTGCCCAAGACTGACACCTAGTGGACAGATTTCTCTTATCACTCCCTGAGAGGAGGGGAAGACATTCTAAGCAAGGATTAGAGAAATTAGCTTTGCCTTTCTGCTCATTTTACAGAAAAAGAAACTGGGGCCTAGAGAAATGAAGTGACTTGTCCAAGGTTACACAGATTTAAGTCCAAGGCTTCTTCTGGTCCTACCAGTTCTCTCTCTACCACTCATTCATTCTACTACTTCCTTCATGCTTATAGGGAACACAATGGGTAAAGCACA